AATTTGATATACATCTATACATAGTTTTGATTTACATAGTTGAACGTACCCCCCAATGGGACATTGATCCAATCAAAATATCGGTTTAAAACCACCCCATATAGAAATTTCGACGTGTATACGTATTATAAAATAATATGAAAGGGTGAAACCCGCGACAGAGGTACGTACGTAGTTCCGTTGTTGATGCAGATCTTACTTAGTTAGGGATAGGTTAGTTATCATTTTAGTTAGTGATCTGCATCAATAACGTAACCACTTTCGCGGATTTCTCACCCTGTCGTATTATAATTTTTTCCCTTTCTTTCAAAATTGGATGGACGAAAGTAGGAATGATTATGAATATTTCGAACAAAAACCTTCAAACTGGGACATTATAGAATTTTTAGAGCAATGCGACCTTGAGCCGTACGGCAAAAAAGTGGATCGATACCTTAGGTGTCTCAGACGAATTGTTTGTAGTGAGCAAAAAAAGAGAAAAGAAAAGGCAGAAGAGCTTCTCAGAAAATACAATCAAGCAAGTAAAATTTTTTGTCAAATATGCAAGTGAAAAATAGTGGCGTGACAAGGACCCAAGATCCACTCGGTGCTTGATCATTCAAGGCCATTCGCATTTTTCGCGGCCGCCAAGCCACAAAATCAGTGCTGGAGCACAGACGACCCATGTTGGTAACTCGCTCGGTGGTCTGATGTTCAAGGCCATTTGCTTACTCAGCAACCGCTGATCCAGCACTGATCCTACTAGGGCACAGGTAACCCTTCAATCGGTTGTCTGATGTTCAAAACCACTCGCTGATCTAGCGATCGTTGACCTTGTAGGATGGAAAGCATGATATGTTAGTTAAGAATAATATGTTAGTTAAGAATGTTATTAATTTGAACCTTGTTTGCAAAAGGGAAATAAACCTGACAAACAACGCGCCAAGGATTGGGAAAAAACACGAAAATCAAGTAATATAAGCGGTGGTTCCTCGATTCATATCCACAACATCCACAATTCGACATTATCAGGGAACTCTCTTACCGTTGCTGGGAACACTTCAACTACTAAAGCTACTACTGAAGCTACTACTAAACGCAAGCGAGAGGGCCTTAGAGAGAGGAAGGTGGTATCTTATGCCGAAAGCTCAACAGATACAGATACAAGTTTCGATACAAATTGTGAGGAGTCCAGGAGTGTAAGTAACACTAGCGTATTTCAGGATCAATTTTATCGACCCATTTTTCAAATTTCCTTATTTGGAAGGATGCTAAAACGAAGCAATTAAAATTAGGGTAAGGGTTGTTCAGAGGTTATAGATTAAGCAAGGTTTATAGATAAAATTGCACTCCCGATATTTTTTTTGTTAATGCCCCAAGAGAGGTTTAGACACTCATTTCTTGTATTTTTGAGTTTTGATGTTGCTTCGTAAAAGTTTTACGATTTGATTGGTTAGTTTATGAATTTGATTTGTTAATTTATATAGATCACCAAATAAGGAAATTTGAAAAATGAGTCGTCGTATTTCAGTTACGGCACTATAATTATTTGACGTTCTTTACAATTTTGATTCAGGTTAAAAGACAATCAAACCGATTTGATATTAAAGAGTCCACCACTGATAATGACGAAGTAGAAAGTGATCATGATTTTTCGTATTTTGAGCTTGCCTACCGAGCTCTTGATCCCTCAAAAATGTGGGTTCTCAAGTCATCTGGGCGTGTTGTTGAAAAAGTTATATACGATCACGCACGAGAATTAGAATACGATTCTTACTTACACTCTTTTATTATAAACGATGCTGATAGGGAGGCAAAAAAACTGTTTAACAAAAATGAGTGGAACGAAATATTTTCCTCTAATCCAAAACATGTACCAAAAATCGGCGAAAACATTGTGAATCTCTTGAAAAAATACAATGTAGACAATTTACCTACCCTTCAAAAAGTTATTTTTGAGCCCCTTTTTTCTGATAATGCTCCCTATTCAACAGATTTGGATTATATTAACCTTGCGTATAGGTCAATGGATAAGGTAGAAAAATAATAATAATAAAGGATTTTAATATTTTTGTGTATGCGGCATACATGTAACTGTCTGT